GTCGGGGCGGTTCCGTGCTGGCGTTCCCGGAGCACGGAGCTGAGGCACGGCCGAGGGTGCGCGCCGTAGCCCCCTCGTTCAGCCCTGCGCGTCTGCTCCGACAGAACACGGAGGAAAAGGCCAGCTGGGTATAAAGCCAATTAGGCTACTGGTGCTTACCTGCACGCTTCACCTTAGATATTCTGGGTTCCAGGGTAAATCCTATTTATCTTGGTGGACTTCCCGACCTATGCCAGCCAAAGGCAATAACCAGCGTACTTAATGGGTGTCCCAGGATTTATGTAACTTAAAAATGCTTACCCTTTTCAACTTTGCCTTTCTTTTTTTGTCCCTGTTTCCCAGTATGGCTGTCTGTCCTTCCCTCCTGGCAGAAGGGTCTGTGAAAAAAGCCATGGGAGAAAGCTCATGTGCGGCCTGGGTTCTGCCTCAAGTGGTTTGATTTTGGCTCAGTGCAGGGCCAGATCGGGACAGCTACACCAGAGTGTTTTGCCAGGAAACACGAAGGGAAAGCTGCTCAGAAAGACAGTAGATAGGAGCAATCCCTAGACAAGCAGAAGCAGGAGGCAGCTTTCTGGGGCAGCGGAGGGCAGACTCTCAGTTCCCCGGCAAGGTACAGATGACCCACATTATACAAAGCATGCAAGAGCTCAGCCAGCGCCACATACCCTCAGGGATGTTAGGCCATCCCTGGAAAGCTTTGCTCACACGCTTGAATCAACCTTCTCCTGCCCAACCTTGGCAGTGATGAAGGCAGAGCAGAAGGAAGGAGCTGAGCAAAATAAGAGGAGCACCACAAAAAGGTTCTTGGGAAGCTGGCCTTAGTCTTTGTGTGGCCAGAGTCACTGGAGTGAATACGTGCGTGTGTTATACACCCAAGAAATAAAAAAGAAGCCTGGCCCAGAAGCTAAAGCACTACCTGAAGCCCTGACAGAACTCTGTGCAGACTCTAGGTGGGATGCTAAGCACAGGCATCTACTGCTGTTAGCATCCTTGGCCTCCAGCCATGGAACTGAAAGACTAGCCAGAGTCTCCCGCAGAGCCTGTGTCGTATGTGCCAGGCATGTGTGGGTGGCTCACGCTACCCAAAGGGCTCTAAAACGGCAGCAGAGGCATGAGGTAACTCAGCCATGCCATCCCCATCTGAGCCGAGTTTCTCTGTGCCTCAGTTTTGCTGCGTGTAAAATGGGCCTCCCCTATCCCACAGAGGCAGCATCAAATAAACCGGGAGGGTATTTGTGGGGACGTTGTGGGAAAGGGACGGGGGGAGTAGCATGATTATGATCGGTTCATCATAAACTACAAAGCCATGAACAAGTGCAGGTCTGCCGGCCGTACAAGCCATCCTAGTTCTGAATCGCACTCCGGCCAGCAGAGGCATTTGAGCCAAAACAAGCTGCTGGTGAGGCAGCCTTCCTGAGGAGCCCTTTGTTTAAAAGCGTTGCTTGAAACTAGCACCCCCTCGTCGACATTCTGGATTCGCCCAGAGGCCTCTTCTTCCCTGCACCTGCCTCTTTGCCGAGATGGAGTCAAACGAGGGATACCTGACCTACCCCGCGGGTCAGCGGCTGGACTGCCGTGCTCTCCAGGTACCCCAATGCTCCCTCTGTATCAGTGGCCAAAGCTTTGGGTTTATCTCGTCTTGCCTCCATCCAAATTTCTGGTGCATCCATTTAAACTCTCTCCTGAGGGTCATGCCTAGCTGACTTTAACTGCTTTTCTACACAGAACCAAACATTTCAGAGCTGATTTCACAGTCCTTAGTGGGGCAGAAATGTCATATGACAGAGGGATGGCTGCCAAACATCAGCCAGTTTTCACATCAGGCGCTGGCAGAACACAGAGATGCTCAGAGAGAGGAGACACAATATTCATTATACCAGAGAAACTGGTAATGTCGGAGTGACCAGCGTCCCGGTCTGACCAGCTTCTTGTTCTGCTCTCTTTTGTTTGTTTTATTCCACATTTTCTTCTATGATAGGATTTTCTAAATGGGTGTCTGTGGTTGACAAGCTGCTGAAGGAAGCTGATAGAGTCCCAAGGTCTATAACTCACGGCGTCAGCGACGCAGGAAGATGCTGACTGCATAGAAGAAAGAACCTGAGTGTCCAGCCCAGAAACACTGCAGCCAAAGGGAAACCCCTTGAATTAGTGCCTGCTGGAGTTGGACTTCACAGCATGTCCTGGCAGACTGCACTGAAGAAAGATGCAGGCAGGAGCTTTGAACAGGCGCTTGAGATTTTTCGGTAGTAAGTAACTCAATGTTCTTACCTGAGATCCCTCTCGGATGTAGCTGAGGCAGCTGGAAAGAAGATCCTTCACCCGTCCATCTCACCTGCGGACATTAACGTGTCCTCAACAGAGGAATGGAACAGTATTGCCCCCGACCCCAGCAGCTCATAACTGAGATTTAAACTGCAGCTGAGCTCTGTGTGTTCCCATCTCACAGGGGCTGTGGAGCAAACACGACGGCCAGCCCACTGCGCCGGAGGGAATGACAGCGGGGCGTATTCCTGGGTACTGCCCTACGTAGCCGCTTCTCCCAACCCCATCCGGCAGGGACTAGGGGCCCGTCCTGGACAGAGAGCCAGCCTTGCTCCACTGGAGAGCAACCGAGCTGAGCTCCCTGTCAAAACTCTCTTGGCTTAAATAGGTCAGGTGTCTTTGCTGGTTTTCTTGAATACTGACAGAATTTTGAACAGGGGTGGGAAGGAAGAGAGACTAGAATACACTTTCTGCTGAGAAATGGTGCCATTGAGACCCAGTTTCATGAGGGATTTTTCCTCATAATTATGAATTCGGAGATCTTCAAAGCTCTTTGTAGTAATTGCCTTCTCTCCTGTATAGCTCATGCTCCTGAGCTGTGCAAAACTTTACACAACACTTTTGTATGTTAAGTCTGGGCTTTCTGGGCTGGGCAAAGACAGCCAGGCCTAGTGGAAAGACTTCTCATGAAAAACAGTCTGCCCCTGCCTTTCACATCTTAATGAGAAATGACCCAGGATTAACCTCATTTGCCAGTGGAGACATTGTTACAGCTGAAGCAGATGCAGAGATGGTCACTTGATTTTACTTTTCCAGAACTTTGAAGCAAATGTGAAGTGGACAATTCGATGGTCTGCATAATGTAAAGAAATGTCTAGCCACCCCTCCGCTCCCAGATGAAAAAATAGGAAGCTCAGACTGGTCATGTGGGGTTAACCTGGGAATGAAGTAGCCTTTCCAAACACAGCTAGGGTCCCAGTTCAGCCTGGTTACCCAGTGCAATACCACAGGGAAGGAAAGGGGAAAGAGCTCCTCAGCTTCTGGTGCTGGCTGCCCTCCCCAAGGCCCCTCTGACTATGGGACTGGTAGCAGGCACAACGTATCTCGCCCCCCATTCCCAGCGAGCTTTGCCCCTCCTCACCAGTCGTTTGCCCTGTGTTGGGAAGGGAGGTGTGGTACCCCCGGGAGCAGGGATCTGTGCCCATGGAAGAGGAGAAAGGATTCATCTCCGTGTAGCGATCCCTCCCAGGAGCCTTTGGGGCAGCCCTTGCCGACCGCCCTGTATTGAGGACACTGAGTGAAGACCAAGTTACTCTTGGGAGAACTGTAAGAAGTGTTTACAGCTTCACCCGCCAAAGCCCACACACTTCCATGAGCAGCCACGACCACTGACAAACCCTGTCCTACAAGCCCGCCTCTCCCCAAAGGTGGCCTGCCGTGGTTAGCTTAACAACATTCACTGTCTGCAATCATCTCGTTGCAAAGGGAGTGAATTTCTTAATATTTTCACGGCAGTCTTTGATTGCTATTATTCTTCCTTAGAACTTTGGATGTTGCAAAGAAGTCAAAGATAGACACCAAAACCACTCTCTTGCTAATACAGTTTAAGTAAAAGAAGAAATAGCCCACTCAGAAAAGGCCAGGCTAATAGCCTTAGCAAAGTTAGAGTAAAGAAGTGGTTAAGGATCTAGATGATTTAATCCAGTTTTAAGAAAAGGTTTTACAGTGAGCAATTAGATGCTGTTTAAGGAATTAATCACTAATGGGTCATTAACTCTGACTGCTATTGTACAGTTAACAAGCCGAGGCAGGATTATTAGACTCAGCACCCAATTAAGAAGGAGAAGATATTTACAACAAAATGAACAAATGAGCTTTTTAAAATGGAATGGGACAATTTGAAAGAAAGTGTAGGAACACAGACAACCAGACAGGGTACAGGACGGACAGGAGTTTGCACATGCCTCTGTCCCTTTATTTGTTTGAAAAGGACTTACTTGTCTGTGCCCACTTATGTTTAGCTGGTTAAAATATTTATTTTTAGCAATAAACTCACAGCTTTCCTTCAAGGACATCGCTGCACACACTGTATCCGTTACAGGGTTCACTCGTACAACATACAGCAAAAGCCCTGCTTAAAATATCAGTAAAAGAACAATCACCATACCTTGACATAATCCATTTTTTGCTCGCAGTTGTTGGATCAGGAGCTTAATAAAAGTGAGGAGGTGTCTTCAGCTGCTGTTCCTGTTGTGGAAGAGTACCATTGAAATCTTGGGGACTTGCCTGTTAATCATCGGCACAGGTAAGAGCTTTTGGGCAAGATTGAAATGTGCTCACACGCAGGAGGGTTTTCAGCATCAGGGCCACAGCTGGACTGCAGCCAAGCAATGCCAAGTGGGATCGCTCCTACCCCTGAGGAGTGCGGAGCCTCTGCAGTCGTTCGTTAGTGCGTGCCCGTTACTGGCGCAGCTCAGGGTGTGCAAGCACACCCAGACGTCCTTCCCTTGCAGCCGCCAGCAGAGATGTGCCTTCTTGCAAGCCCAGCATCCTTGGTGATGCAAAGAAACCTCACCTGGGAAAGGAGCGCTGGAATAACACCTAAAAACTGAAGCGATAGCTTTTGTTCTTCTCGCCCCACACACCCTGAAGTTTACTCAGGTCTCCTTGCTAGAAGTTAACAAATTGTTTCCCTGGTCCCGACAGCGACAGCGCTTTCTTTTCTTGACAGCACAGCACTTTCTTTGCCAAGGAAGCAAACGGCTGCGTGCTTGGGAGGCTGGGCACCACCACAGACACACACACGGCGGCACTGACCGGCCCAGAGCCCAACAGGAGGGTCTGGCCCCAGCAGGGCTGCACCTCCCCTGAATTCAGTGGGGACCACTCGCTGGGCCTCACTGCACCCCCCTGGACCAACACACCTCAGGGAAAAGAAGCTGGGGGGCCTGGGCACAGCGTGTGCTCTGGCCGGTTGGATCTGCAGGGAGGCCGGGGAGAGAGGGTAAGGCATTTCAAAATAGAGGGATTCCCATTATTATCCGTAAAAGAAGCTCTCCAGACAATACATGGGGGCTGCTGTGGAGAAGGCTGTGAAGGGATGTTTAGAAACTGCTGTCTAAGGTTAAAAAGCTCTCTGAAGTGAAGCTGAACAAAGCTGACATACTTGCTTCTGACAGGACTCCTAAAAGATACGCACAGATTGTGAAAATATAATTAGACGCCAGCCTTTGTCTGGCCACAACGAGTGGGAAATGGTGAAAGGAGAGGTCTCCCAGTCTGCATTGAATCATCCCCAGGACACAATGAGGGCGCTTGTGCATCCTTCTCTCTTCCCTAATGAGAAACCTTAATTGCCACAACCTCCAGAGTGTGTAGAGCACCCCGTGCCCAGTGGAGGAGAAGGGGTGTTTCATTACAGCTTCTCAGCCCCATTACAGGCAGTAACGGAGATAATAGAAAATAAAGATGCCACAATTTTAGTTTTGTCAGCTTGGCAATGGGCAGTGGGTGGGCGGGGGCGCAAGCACAGGGCGGCCGGACCAGGCAGGACGCA